TAACCCCATTAATAACCCCAACCCCATTAATAACCCCATTAACGACACCAACCCCATTAATAACCCCAAATAACGACACCAACCCCATTAATAACCCCATTAATTACACCAACCCCATTAATAACCCCATTGACGACACCAACCCCATTAATAACCCCATTAACGACACCAACCCCATTAATATCCCCATTAATAACCCCAACCCCATTAATAACCCCATTAATAACCCCAACCCCATTAATAACCCCATTAACGACACCAACCCCATTAATAACCCCAATAACGACACCAACCCCATTAATATCCCCATTAATAACCCCAACCCCATTAATAACCCCATTAACGACACCAACCCCATTAATAACCCCATTAATAACCCCAATCCCATTAATAACCCCAACCCCATTAATAACCCCATTAACGACACCAACCACATTAATAACCCCATTAACGACACCAACCCCATTAATAACCCCATTAACGACACCAACCCCATTAATAACCCCATTAACGACACCAACCCCATTAATAACCCCATTAATAACCCCAACCCCATTAATAACCCCATTAATGACAGCCCCATTAATAACCCCATTGACGACACCAACCCCATTAATATCCCCATTAATAACCCCAACCCCATTAATAACCCCATTAATGACACCAACCCCATTAATAACCCCAATAACAACCCCATTAATAACCCCAACCCCATTAATAACCCCATTAATGACAACCCCATTAATAACCCCATTGACAACACCAACCCCATTAATATCCCCATTAATAACCCCAACCCCATTAATAACCCCATTAATAACCCCAACCCCATTAATAACCCCATTAACGACACCAACCCCATTAATAACCCCAAATAACGACACCAACCCCATTAATAACCCCATTAATTACACCAACCCCATTAATAACCCCATTAACGATAACAACCCCATTAATAACCCCATTAATGACAACCCCATTAATAACCCCATTGACGACACCAACCCCATTAATAACCCCAACCCCATTAATAACCCCAAATAACGACACCAACCCCATTAATAACCCCATTAACGACACCAACCCCATTAATATCCCCATTAATAACCCCAACCCCATTAATAACCCCATTAATAACCCCAACCCCATTAATAACCCCATTAACGACACCAACTCCATTAATAGCCCCAATAACAACAACCCCATTAATAACCCCATTAACGACACCAACCCCATTAATAACCCCATTAACGACACCAACCCCATTAATAACCCCATTAACGACACCAACCCCATTAATAACCCCATTAATGACACCAACCCCATTAATAACCCCATTAATGACACCAACCCCATTAATTACCTCAATAACGTCCCCAAGGCTCGGGCCCCCTCCTAGGCCGCACCCCCCCGTTCCCCCCCTCATTCCCCCCCCCCCCCCCCCGTTGGGGGCGGGGCAGCCGCGGCCCCCGGCGCTGCCGTTACCGGTTCCGTTGAGGCCGCTGGGACCGGGACCGGGCCGGGGCTCGGGGGAGGCCGCGGGGAGCAGCAGCAGCAGCGGCAGGAGCCGCCCGGGCGCCGCCATTGCTGTGACGTCACTCAGGTGCGCCCGGAGAGGAGCGTCGCAGGTGATGAGAGAGGCCACGCCCACGGCGGGGGCCACGCCCCTTTGTTTGCATGCGGGGCGCCAAAGAGCGGGGCAGCGCAGCTGGGGGGGCGGTGGAGGTATGGGGGGTATAGGGGATATAGGGGTCTATGGGGGCTATAGACCCTATGGAGCCTATAGGGAATATAGGGGTCTATAGGGAATATAGGGGTCTATGGGGGCTATAGACCCTATGGAGCCTATAGGGAATATAGGGGTCTATAGGGAATATAGGGGTCTATGGGGAATATAGGGGTCTATGGGGGCTATAGATCCTATGGAGCCTATAGGGAATATAGGGGTCTATAGGGAATATAGGGGTCTATGGGGTCTATAGACCCTATGGAACCTATGGGGAATATAGGGGGTCTATGGGGAATATAGGGGTCTATGGGGGCTATAGACCCTATGGAACCTATGGGGAATATAGGGGTCTATGGGGGCTATAGACCCTATGGAGCCTATAGGGAATATAGGGGTCTATGGGGGCTATAGACCCTATGGAACCTATGGGGAATATAGGGGGTCTATGGGGAATATAGGGGTCTATGGGGGCTATAGACCCTATGGAGCCTATAGGGAATATAGGGGTCTATAGGGAATATAGGGGTCTATGGGGAATATAGCGGTCTATGGGGAATATAGGGGTCTATGGGGGCTATAGACCCTATGGAGCCTATAGGGAATATAGGGGTCTATAGGGAATATAGGGGTCTATGGGGAATATAGCGGTCTATGGGGAATATAGGGGTCTATGGGGGCTATAGACCCTATGGAGCCTATAGGGAATATAGGGGTCTATAGGGAATATAGGGGTCTATGGGGTCTACTGGGCTCTATGGGAGCTATAGACCCTATGGAGGCTATAGGGAATATAGGGGGCTACAGGGAATATAGGGGTCTATGGGGAATATAGGGGTCTATGGGGGCTATAGACCCTATGGAGCCTATAGGGAATATAGGGGTCTATAGGGTCTACTGGGCTCTATGGGAGCTATAGACCCTATGGAGGCTATCGGGAATATAGGGGGCTACGGGGAATATAGGGGTCTATGGGGAATATAGGGGTCTATGGGGGCTATTGGGCACTATGGAAGCTATAGACCCTATAGGGAATATAGGGGTCTATGGGGAATATAGCGGTCTATGGGGGCTATTGGGCACTATGGGAGCTATAGACCCTATAGGGAATATAGGGGTCTATGGGGAATATAGGGGTCTATGGGGGCTATTGGGCACGATGGGAGCTATAGACCCTATAGGGAATATAGGGGTCTATGGGGAATATAGGGGTCTATGGGGGTTATTGGGCATGATGGGAGCTATAGACCCTATAGGGAATATAGGGGTCTATGGGGAATATAGGGGTCTATGGGAGCTACTGGGCACTATGGGAGCTATAGATCCTATGGGGAATATAGGGGTCTATGGGGTTTACTGGGCACTATGGGAGCTATAGACCCTATGGAGCCTATAGGGAATATAGGGGTCTATGGGGAATATAGGGGTCTATGGGGTCTACTGGGCACTATGGGAGCTATAGACCCTATGGAGCCTATAGGGGCAGTGGGAAATATAGCAGCTATAGGGGGATATGGCTTTAGGGGAGCTGTAAGCACTATGGGGTGCTATGGGGTTGTAGGGTCCCCCAGCAGCTATAGGGTGCCATAGGAGCTATGGGGCGCTATAGGAACTAGAGGGACTATAGAGTTAGACCTTTGGGGGCTATAGGGCTCTATGGGAGCTATAGGGCGCTATGGGTGCTATAGGGCTCTGTGGGGATTAGAGGGCGCTATAGGGACTAGGGAGACTATTGAATTAGGAGAGCTGTGGGTGCTGTAGGGCGCTATGGGTGCTATAGGTCTCTATGACCACAATGGGGCTCCATGGGTGCTACAGGTCTCTATGGGTGCGCTATAGGGTGCTCTGGGCACTATATGTCTCTATGGGTGCTATAGGGCTCTATGGGTGCTATAGGTCTCTATGGACACTATATGTCTCTATGGGTACTACAGGTCTCTATGGGCCCTCTAGGTCTCCATGGGCTCTATAGGTCTTTATGGGTGCTCTAGGGCACCATGGGTGCTATAGAGCTCCTAGGGTGCTATAGGTCTCTATGGGCACTACAGAGCGCTATGGGTGCCCTAGGTCTCTACGGGACTCTAGGGCTCCATGGGCGCTATAGGGTGCTACGGTCTCTATAGGTCTCTATGGGCACTCTAGGTCTCTATGGGGACTCTAGGGCTCCATGGGCGCTATAGGGTGCTACGGTCTCTATAGGTCTCTATGGGCGCTATAGGGCGCTATGGGCACCCTAGGTCTCTACGGGACTCTAGGGCTCCATGGGCGCTATAGGGTGCTATGGTCTCTATAGGTCTCTATGGGCGCTCTAGGTCTCTATGGGGACTCTAGGGCTCCATGGGCACTATAGGGCGCTATGGTCTCTATAGGTCTCTATGGGCGCTATAGGGCGCTATGGTCCCTATAGGTCTCCATGGGGGTCTCCCTTTGTCCCCGCCCTCTTTGTCCCCGCCCTCTTTGTCCCCGCCCTCTTTGTCCCCGCCCCTTTGTCCCCGCCCCCTTTGTCCCCGCCCCATTCCCGGGGCTAAGCGATGGCCGCGCATCGCGTGGGGCGGCGGCAGGGCCGGGCCGGGGGCTCCCCGGGGGGGGGTTCCTTGGGGGGGGGCTCCCCGGGGCGCCCCCCGCCCTCCGCCCGCAGCCCCGCGCTGCAGCGGCGCCCGGCCCGGGCCACGGTCAAGTACAACCGGAGGGAGCTGCAGAGGAGGCTCGATACCGAGAGCTGGATCGACAGCGGGCTGCAGGAGCTGTACCGGGGACGGGTACGGGAACGGGAGAGAACGGGAACGGGATGGGGAGAGAACGGGAACGGAGCGGGGAGGGAACGGGAATGGGAGAGGGGAGAGAACGGGAACGGAGCGGGGAGGGAATGGGAATGGGAGAGGGGAGAGAACGGGAACGGAGCGGGGAGGGAATGGGAACGGAGCGGGGAGGGAACGGGAATGGGAACGGGAGCGGGGAGAGAACAGGAACGGAGCAGGGAGGGAACGGGAATGGGAGAGGGGAGAGAACGGGAACGGGAGGGGGAGAGGACGGGAAGGGGAGCGGGACTGGGGAGCGAACGGGAATGGGGAGAGAACGGGAACGGAGCAGGGAGGGAACGGGAGGGAGAGGGGAGAGAACGGGAACGGAGCGGGGAGAGAAAGGGAACGGAGCGGGGAGAGAACGGGAACGGAGCGGAGAGAGAACGGGAACGGAGCGGGGAGAGAACGGGAACGGGAACGGAGCGGGGAGAGAACGGGAACGGGAGAGGGGAGAGAACGGGAACGGACAGAACGGGAATGGAGCGAGAACGGGATCGGGACTGGGATGGGGAGAGAGAACGGGAACGGGGACAGAACGGGAACGGAGCGAGAACGGGACCGGGATCGGGACCGGGGAGAGAAAGGGAACGGGAGCGAGAACGGGACTGGGAGCGGGGAGAGAACGGGATCGGGACCGGGAGCAATAACGGGACCGGGAACAGGGGTGGGAGTGAGAATGGGACCGGGAGAGAGAACGGGAACGGGAGCCGGGATGGGAGACAGAAAGGGACCGGGGCCAAGAACGGGATCGGGAGCAACAACGGGACCGGGAACAAGGGTGGGAGAGAGAACGGGAGTGGGGGCAAGAATGGGACCGGAACCAGGGGTGGGAGCGATAACGGGAGCGGGAACAAGGGTGGGAGTGATAACGGGACCGGGGCGAGAACGGGAACGGGAACAGGGATGGGGAACGAGAACGGGAGAGGGACCGGGACCGGGGGTGAAAAGGGGACCCAGTGATAACGGGAGCAGGAGCGATAACGGGACCCAGACGGGAGCAACAACGGGACCCGGGGGCTATAACGGGATGCTCAACACCGGGTCCTGGCTGGAGAAAGGATGCTCGGGACCGGGACCGGTTGGACCGGACCATGGCGGGGGACGGGGGGGGGGGGGGGGACGGGAACCAAAGGGGTGCCAGGGATGGGGGCACCATTGGGGACACCGGAGCCCCCCCCCCCACGGCAGGAGCAGGAGATACCGGATGAGGTGAACATCGACGAGCTCCTGGAGCTGGAGACGGACGAGGAGCGAGCCCAAAAGCTGCAGGTTTGGGGGGGGGGGCTTAGATTTGGGGGGGACACGCGTGTTTTGGGGGGGGGGGAACACACACGCGTAACCCCCCCCCCCATCCATGGTTGCATCCATCCCTGCATCCATCCCTGCATCCAGCTCATCCTCAAGTCCTGCAGCGCCGACCCTGAGGTATGCACCTATGGGGAGAGGGGGGGGATGTTTTAAAGTGGGGGGGGGCACACACAAGCAATGGGGGGGGGCACATAAGTTGGAACCCCCCCCTCTATGAAAACACCCCCCCCCCTTTTTTGGTATCTCCCCTTTGGCTCCAAACAGGGCTTTAAAAGGCAAAAACATTCATTGAGGGTTGTGCCCCGGGGAGGGGGGGGGCCTCTTCCTTTTCCGGGGGGGGAGGTAGTTAAAGGAGGGGGGGGTTAATTTAAAGGGGGATGTTAATTAATGGGGGGGGGCACTAATGAATCCCTTACCCCCCCAAAGGACTTCATCCAACAGCTCCTGGTGCAGCTCAAGGGGCTCCCGAAGCAGCAGCTCCTGCAAAGACCCAGCCCCGAGGACCCCCCCCCATAACCGCGGGGGGGGGGCACCCAAAGAGGGGGTACCACCTCCCCCCCAGCACCCGCTGGGCTTGTATTTAACCTCACACCCCCCCCCCCCAATAAACCCTCATTGTGCCGCATGGGTGGGGGTGTGATTGCCCCCCCCCCCAAAATGGGGACCCCCATAATTATGGGAACCCCCCCAAAATATGGGACACTCTCCCCCCCCAAAATGGGACATCCCCAATATATGGCACCCCCCAAAAATGGGACCCCCCCCAAAATGGGACCTCCCAAAATAAGGGGGACCCCCCCAAAAGTGGGAACCCCCGAAAATTGGACCCCCCCCCAAACAATGGGCACCCCCAAAATGTGGCACCCCCCGGATAAGCTTGGGATGCTCCAAATAAATTGGGCCCCACCCCCAAAATATGTCCCCCCTTCCCCCCAATTTGGGGTCGTCCCCCCCCAAAAACCCCTTCAGCTCCATGGGGGGGGGGGGCACACAGGCAGGACCCCCCCTTTTTGTCCCCAGGCCCCCCCCATTTGCGTCATGAGCTCCCCCCCCAGCTGTTGATGGAAGAATCCAGATGTTGGGAACATCTGGCAGGAAGTGCCCCCCCCCCCCCCCCCCGCGGCTCCATTCCATTCCCAGGGGGGGCCCTGCAGGGATCTTGCCCCTCCCCCCCCCAACTCACATCTATGGGGCTAAACTGGGGGGGGGGGGGGCCCCCCAAAACTGCCCCCCCCCCCCCCGGGCTGAATACAATGGGGGGGGGGGGGGTTGCATATGCACCCCATACATCCCTATATGCACCCCATACATGCCTATACACATGCCAACCCCCCCCATTTGCACCCCCAAACCCCCCCATAGGCATCCCATACGTCCCTATATGCACCACCAAACCCACCATATGCACCCCACAACCCCCCCCATACACCCCTATATGCACCCCAAACCCCTCCATATGCATCACATACATCCCTATATGCACCCCATACGCACCCCCAAAACCCCCCACATGGATCCCATACATCCTTATATGCACCCCATACATCCCTATATGCACCCCATACATCCCTATGTGCATCCAACCCCCCCCCATATGCACCCAACCCCTCCATATGCACCCCTATAGGCACCCCATCCACCCATATATGTGCCCCATACACCCCTCTATGCACCCCATCCACCCCATAGGCGTGCATACTCCTATATGCACCCCATACCCTATAGGCACCCCATACACCCCTATACACGCCCCATACACCCCTATATGCACCCCATCCACCCCTATAGGCACCCCTATAGACACCCCTATATGCACCCCATCCACCCCTATATGCGCCCCATACGTCTCTATATGCACCCCATACAACCCTATCTTCACCCCAACCCCCCCATATGAACCCCGACCCCACATATACACCCCTATATGCACCCCATACATCTCTATATACACCCCATACATCTCTATATGCACCCCATTCACCTTGATATGACTCCATACCCCCCATAAGCACCCCATCCACCCCTATACGCGCCCCATACGTCTCTATACGCACCCCATCCACCCCTATAGGCACCCATTCTCTGGGCGCCATTCCCGGTTTTCCAGCCTCGACTCCCACTGGTATTTACACCTTTATTACAATGGCTCTGGAACACCCCCAGAACCCCCCCCCCCACCCCCCTGGTTTGGGGATCCATAGGGAAAACACCACTTCAGACCCAAATTCCTTCTCGGGCCTCTTTCTGGGCCCCCAAATCCCACTTTTCCAGCTGCAAATCCCGCCGGAGCGAAGGAATGGGAGCAGAATAATTTAATGTCAAGAATAGAAACTTTTCCTTCTCTTTTTTTTCCTGCTTTTTGGCTCGTTTTTTTTTTTGGGGGGGGGGGTGGGGGGGTTGGGAAGATCCCATGAATCCCAAAGTGTAAAAATCATGGAATTCCACTAAAAAAGACCACCCAGGAAAGCCGGATGCAACTGGGAAGCCCAATTCCCACCTTTTTAGGGAGGGTTTTTTTCTCCTTCTGGCCCATAGAAAAAGGTGGGAATGGTGGGATTTGGGGCTGAAACGTGGCTTTTTGGGAAGGTGGCGATGCCCAATGGAACATTCCCGGTTTTTCCCCCCCGGGATGCCTTTGATCAGGGATGGTTTGGGATGAGGTGTGTGTGGGGGGAAAGCAGGAAAACGATGGAAAGGCTGCTTCGTAGCACAGAGGAAAACGCTGATTTCTCTTGGAAAACATGGTTTTGGCGGCGGGGTGTGGGGGAAACTCTGGAATTCCGTTGGGAATTCCATCGGGAATGGAGGGGTGTGTGTGTGGGGGGGGTTATATACAGGATCTACGGCTAAAGTGAGCGCTAATGGGCTTAAAATAAATGGCAAAGAACCAAAAGAACACCCCAAATCCCAGAGCGGCGCCGGGAATCGTTGGGAATGGTTGTTGGGAATCGCTGGGAATTCTACTGGCAGAAAGGCGACGCCGTGGGATCAAAGCCCTTGAAGACATCCTTGAGGGAAGCAGCATCCTGCTGCTCGCTGTCCTGGGCCGGGCTATTCCCGGCAAAGGGGCTGCCGGCTCCGGATTTGGAGCTCTGTTTCACCATCCCATAGACAGGGGGGACCGGGAGGTTATGGACACCGGGATGGGGAGCACCGGGATCGGCGGCGTTCCCGGCGGCTTTGGGACGAGGGCGGTTGTAGCTGTTGTACCTGTCCGTAGCGGATTCGCCGCCTCCTTTCTCGGCGTCGGGTTGTTCCAGAGCGGAACGCCGGACAAAAAGGGGTTCCTTGGCTTTGGAGGGGGGTTTCCCACATTCCGAAGCCTTGGAAGATCCCTCGGGAAGAGGCTCGGAGGCTTTGCCACCCGAGTTGGGAGTTCTGGGATCGTAGAGGCTGATGGCGCTGAGGACGCTGCTCTGCCCGGTGCCCGTCAGGAGCCGGGGGTCATAGGGAGCAATGGCCGGAGCGGTTGCTTCCCCTCCCGGAGCGGGATCCGTCGGTTTGGAAGCTCGGGATGGGGCCGGATCCATGGATTTCTGAAGCCTGGGATCGGCGGGAGCTTTGCGCACGCGGGGGTCGCTGGGTTTGTCGCTCTGGGGGCTCCCCCCCGCCGACACCGTCTTTAGGATCCGGGAAAGGAGCTCGAAATCCGGGAGCCCCGATCCCGAGGAATTGGCGTCTCCCGGCGCGCTTCCCGCTCGGGATTGCCTGGGATCCGATAGGGAGGCTTGGGATCTGTTGAGGCGAGGATCCAGGGCGGGCATGGCTTGGAGGGCGGCCGGCACGGGGATGAATTCCTGCTTTGGGATAGGGAGCGGGATGAGATCCTCGGGGCTCCATAGGATCATGCGGGCGAAGTTGGGCTTGTTGAGGACCACGTCCTTCTTGATGTGGCTGAACTGTTGGAGCTGGGAGCGCGGATCCCGCAGGGAATGGCCGGGAAGAGCATCCAAGGGGATACTGATGGGCTTATCCCGCAGGGCCCGTTCCCCTTCCTCGTCGTCGGGAAGCAGGGGGGGCTTCTGCCCGCTGGAATGAGGCTCGGGTTTGGGAACGGCGGAGGGAATGTGGCGGGCGAGGCGGGGGTCCGAGGGGCCCGGTTCTCCGGAGGGATCGGCATTCCGGGAGAGGCGCGGATCCCGGAGGCGAGGATCGGCCGGGCGGGAGCTGCTCCCGGCCTGTCCTTTGTGCGGGCGGGCGGCATTCCCGGAGCTCTGCTGCCGTAGGGATTTGAGGATGGAGGTGACGCTGCTTCCGCCCTCGTCCTCGTCGCTGGAATACCAGTTCCCGGGATCGCCTGGTGGGACAAGGAGGAGGAGGAGGAGGAGGAGATGAAGGGAGGCACGGGGGAAGCACAAGCCCTGATCCCAAAATCCAAGAAGCCCCTCTCCTTTCCCTTTCCCTCTTCCTCTCCCTTTCCCTTTTCCCTTTCCCTCTCCCTCTCCTTTTCCCTTCCCCTCTTCCTTTCCCTCTTTTTCCTTTCCTTCTCCTTTTCTTTTTCCCTTTCCCTCTCCTTTTCCCTTTCCCTCTTTCCTTTTCCCTCTCCCTTTCCCTCTCTTTTCCCTTTCCCTCTCCCTCTCCTTTTCCTTTCCCCTCTTCCTTTCCCTCTTTTCCCTTTCCCTCTTCCTTTCCCTCTCCTTTTCCCTTTCCCTCTTTCCTTTTCCCTCTCCCTTTCCCTCTCTTTTCCCTCTCCCTCTCCTTTTCCTTTTCTCTCTTCCTTTCCCTCTTTTCCCTTTCCTTCTTCCTTTCCCTCTTTTCCCTTCCCCCTCTTCCTTTCCCTTTCCCTCTTCCTCTCCATATCCCTTCCTCTTCCTCTCCCTTTCCCTCTCCCTCTTTTCCCTTTCCCTCTTCCTCTCCCTTTCCCTCTTCCTCTCCCTTTCCCTCTTCCTTTCCCTCTTCCTCTCCCTTCCCTTTTCCCTCTCCCTTTCCCTCTTCCTCTCCCTTTCCCTCTCCTCTCCCTTTCCCTCTCCCCTCCCTTTCCCTTTCCCTCTTCCTTTCCCTCTCCTCTCCCTTTCCCTTTCCCTCCCTTTCCCTCTTCCTTTCCCCCTCCCTCTCCCCCCTTCCCACACCACACTCCACTCCCACTCCAGTCAGCGCTTCCCACTCTTCCAGCTCCTCTCCCTCCCCTTGGGACAACCCCCCCCCCCCCCATTCCTCCTCTTTCCCTCCAGATCCACATTCTCCCCCCATGGATCCGAGCGGAAAACCTCCCCTTTTCCCACTTGCCTTCCTCGTTCTCCCGCTCCTGCTTGCTGCTCTCCAGCCTCCGAGCCCTCTCCTCCTCCTCCTGCTGCTTCTGCTGGATGCGCAGGTAAAGAGCCCTCTGTGCCGAGGGCAGGAAGTCGGGAATGCTGCCCGGAGGCTTGGCCAAGCCGGGGGGGCCTCCTTCACACAGGGCCTCGGGATCCAAGGAGGGATCAGGGAACATGTGCTCTCCTGGGGGCCCTTCCAGCTCCTCGTAGCCTCCGTAGTCATCTGCTGAGGAGAAGAGAATCCAAGGAGAAGCAAATCCCATCAATACCCCCCCCCAACTCCTTTTTCCTGCTCAGCATCCCGGGAATATCCCCCTCTCCGCCCCTCGGGATGTACCTGGGTCTCCCATCATTCCATGATCCATCTCCAGCCCTTCCTGCTGCTGGTAAAAGTTATCATAGAAGCCTTGGCCGGGTGGACCGGGGGGCATCATTCCGGAATGTGGGGAATCATCCGGCCCATAGGGCATCATGGGGGGGCCAGGACCCATGGGGGGGCCGGGATTCATCCCAGGGCCCATGGGCATGTCCGGGTGCATATCCGGGTGCATGTCCGGGTGCATATCCGGATGCATGTCAGGATGCATGTCGGGATGCATGTCCGGATGCATATCCGGGTGCATGTCGGGGTGCATGGGTCCAGGCCCCATCGGTCCTGGGGGTCCTCCTGGTCCAGGGAATCTCGGGGGGGGAGGACCTGGGTGCCTGGAAAACAAAGGAAAACGTGGAGGGATGGACTCTGATGGGCTGGGATGATCCCCATGGGAATCGTGGGGGTGGTGGGACACAGGCTGGATGGAGAAGGTTTGGTACCCAAGGCCATGTTCCCTATGGAAGTTGTCCCCCTCACTAAGAGGATGGAGAAGGTTTGGTACCCAAGGCCACATTCCCTATGGAAGTTGTCCCCCTCACTAAGAGGATGGAGAACGTTTGGTACCCAAGGCCACATTCCCTATGGAAATTGTCCCCTCACTATGAGGATGGAGAAGGTTTGGTACCCAAGGCCACATTCCCTATGGAAATTGTCCCCTCACTATGAGGATGGAGAACGTTTGGTACCCAAGGCCACGTTCCCTATGGAAATTGTCCCCTCACTAAGAGGATGGAGAAGGTTTGGTACCCAAGGCCACATTCCCTATGGAATATGTCCCCTCACTATGAGGATGGAGAAGGTTTGGTACCCAAGGCCACGTTCCCTATGGAAGTTGTCCCCTCACTAAGAGGATGGAGAACGTTTGGTACCCAAGGCCACATTCCCTATGGAATATGTCCCCTCACTAAGAGGATGGAGAAGGTTTGGTACCCAAGGCCACGTTCCCTATGGAAATTGTCCCCTCACTATGAGGATGGAGAAGGTTTGGTACCCAAGGCCACGTTCCCTATGGAAGTTGTCCCCCTCACTAAGAGGATGGAGAAGGTTTGGTACCCAAGGCCACGTTCCCTAAGGAAGATGCCCTTCCCCATGGATCTGTCGGAGCATTCCCTGCCTCCAGCATGGATCCAAGCCCCTGGGGGCCATGGGGGGTGTGTGGGGGGGATGCTCAGCACCAACCTGACTCCCAGCTTCTCTGCCAGCTGCCCCGTGGGCCTCACCACGATCTCAAACAGTGATGGGATCTTCTTGTACATGTCCTGCTGCTGGGGGGACAGTGGCTCATGCATGGGGGGGGGCAGCTGCGGCCCCGGGGGGGGCAACGGAGGCGGGGGAGGCGGGGGGGGACCCCCAGGCATCGGCCTCCCATTGGGAGACGTTGGGGCTGGGGGGCCGGGAGGCCGGGGGGGGGTTGGGAGCAGCCCGACCCCCGGGGGGGGTTTGGGGAGGGGGTTGATTCCTTGTTTCTTGAGCTCTTCCACTTCCTTCTCGTCCTCGGCGCCTGCTTCCGCGTCATCAGCCAGCATCTGGGATGGGAAGGGGGGGGGGAGTGATTCCTGGCATTCCCAAGGTTGGGAAGCAGAGGGGGGGGGAAAGACCAGCAGTGTCTCCCGGTACCTTATCCAGCAGCTCCCGGGTCTCCTCGGTGAGGGGCTCGTGGGAGAACATGCAGTCGTCCCCGTTGATGCAGTTGCCCGTGGTGTGGAAGAGCTTACACGGGAAGTCCCGTGCTGGGAGTCAAGGAAAATCCCAAGGGATGCTCCTGCTACGCGTGGATTTACAACAGCACCCCCCCCCCCATTTCCCTTCCTTTTCCTTCCAACCCTGTTTCCCTTCCTTTTCCTTCCACACCATTTCCCTTCCTTTTCCTTCCACCCCATTTCCCTTCCTTTTCCTTCCAAATCCCCATTTCCCTTCCTTTTCCTTCCAAATCCCCATTTCCCTTCCTTTTCCTTCCACCCCCCCCCATTTCCCTTCCTTTTCCTTCCAAATCCCCCTTTCCCTTCCTTTTCCTTCCACCCCCCCCGTTTCCCTTCCTTTTCCTTCCAAATCCCCATTTCCCTTCCTTTTCCTTCCAAATCCCCATTTCCCTTCCTTTTCCTTCCAAATCCCCATTTCCCTTCCTTTTCCTTCCACCCCCCCCATTTCCCTTCCTTTTCCTTCCAACCCCCCCCCCATTTCCCTTCCTTTTCCTTCCACCCCCCCCCGTTTCCCTTCCTTTTCCTTCCAAATCCCCATTTCCCTTCCTTTTCCTTCCAAACCCCCCTTGTTTCCACCAGGACGAGCGGCGCATCGGGGTTCCCCTTGCTCCCTGCGCCTCCTTGCAGGCCGAATCCCATAGGATATCGTGCATGTAGGGGCAGTTCTCAGCCCGGGCACAGTACCCGGTGATGTAGAACTTGCAGAGCTCCCGTTTCTTTGGCAGTTCAATGTCGTGGCTGAAGTTGCAGTGGTCGCCCTAAGGAGGAAGAGGAGGTGATGCCGGAGCAGCCACGGCATTCCATGGCCGTATCCCTCGGGATGCTCCGGGTTTTTTTCCCTTACCCAGGTGCAGCGACCCTCCACGAAGTACTTGCAGATCACTTTGCCCTTCTTGTCTGCCTGCTGGTGGGGTTTGTCGTGGTCGTTGCGGCGGTAATTCCCACCGCCGTCCTATGGGAAGCACGGCATTCCAGAGGGAATTGGAAACGGGAAGCAGCAGGGAGAAGATCCCACAGGGATGTCTCCCAAAGGGAACGCCACCGGGATTTGGGATGAAAAAGGGAGGGACCTGTTGGACAAGCTGCCCCTTGGAGCTGGGGCAGCTTTGGGGCTGCTGGGAGGACCCATTGGGGATTCCCTTGGGAATGGGGCTGGATTTAGAGCATCCCGATGGAGGGAGCAGGAACCCAGGCACTCACCCCCATGTCCTCGTCGTAGTAATCATCCTCTTCGTTCATGCCACCACCTTTCCCCATCCCGCTCCTGTTCCCACCTCGGCCCCGGCCTCGGCCCATCCCTTTGTTCCCTCTTCCTCTGGGACCACGGCCACGGCCTCGGTTCAAACCTGAAACACATCCACTGGGATCTCATTCCAATCCTTGTGGAGAGAGGAGGGAATGGAATGGGAATGGAAAGGGAAAGGGAAAGGAAGAAGGGAAGGGAATTGAAGGGAAGGAAAGGGAAGGGGAAAGGGAAGGGAAGGGAAGGAAGGGAAAGGGAAGGAAGGGAAGGGAAGGGAAGGGAAGGGAAGGGAAGGGAAGGGAAGGGAAGGGAAGGGAAGGGAAGGGAAGGGAAGGGAAGGGAAGGGAAGGGAAGGGAAGGGAAGGGAAGGGAAGGGAAGGGGAAGAAAGGGAAGGGAAGGGAAGGGAAGGGAAGGGAAGGGAAGGGAAGGGAAAGGGAAGGGAAGGGAAAGGGAAGGAAGGGAAAGGGAAGGAAGGGAAGGGAAGGGAAGGGAAGGGAAGTGAAAGGGAAGGGAAGGGGGAAGGGCAGGGCAGGCTCCCCTCACCCCGGCCGCGGCTCTCCTTGCTCCTGCGGTACTGGTTGAGCTCTTTCATGTAGTCATCCTCATCCATGGGCTCCTCGGCGTCGCAGTACTGCAGGGCAGGAAGGCAGGAGCGTGAGGGAGCCGGGATCATTCCCAGGCTCCCGTGGATCCCATTGGGAAGTCGAGCTCACCTCCATCTCCTCCTCGTACATCTCCTCCTCCTCCTCTGGGTGCTCGCCCCGGCCCCGGCCCCGGCTGCCCCGGCCCAGGCCCCGGCCTCGCATCCCACCACGGCCGCCTCGGCCCCGGTACCCACGGCCCCGGCCCCGGCCTCCTGCGGATACAGGGATGGGTTAGGTTGGGATGGGCTTCATCCCATCGGGAAGCACGACAAGAAGCCATGGGAATAGCAGGAATGGGATCCGACAGGCCCGGTTCTGAGGGCATCCCCTTTGAGGCTGCCCAAAGGATGGATGTGGGAGAAGCCAAAGGGATCTGAACCCCCCCCCCATCCCATCAAGGTTATCCAGGGACATCACAACGGGACCAGGCTCCATCCCAAAGGGTTTTCATAGGATCATGGAATGGTTTGGGTTGGAAAAGAGCTTAAAAGCTCATCCACGGGCAGCGATGCTCCAACCTGGCCCTCGATGGGGATGAGGCATCCCAAACCTTCCCCATTTAACCCATCCCAGCGTGCCATAGGGAAGAGCTTCCCGATATCCTATCCCAGGGATGCACCTCGGCCACGGTGGGAGCCCTCCTTGACCCTCCGGTACTGGTTGAGCTCCTTCACGAAGTCATCGTAGTCCTCCTTGCCCAGCTCTTCATCCTCCTCTCCCTCGTACTGAGCGTATTCCTCGTTCTCATAGTCCTCATACATGCCATAGCTCTTGCTTTCCAGCTTGGAATAACTCTTCTTGGGCATGGGAGCACCGTGAGAGGACGGATACTGCTGGTGGGACTTTGGGAAAAGGCAAAGAGTTAGCGAGGAAAGAGGGAATCCCATCAATTCCCGATGCAAACCGAACCTAGGGAAGAGGAAGCAGGTGGCAGGGGTTGGATAGGGAGCAGCTCCTGCTTCCCATGGGATACTCACGGATGCATAGGGAGGGCTGTATTCCCGGTACTTCCTATGGCTTTTCTCCCCAGGGCTGAAGTCCGAGTCCTCGCTGTAGTCCGAGAAGTCATCGCTGGAAGACGCGTGGCGCTGCGGGATGGGACACAGGGAAGCTCATCCCGGATCAGCTCCGGGATCCGGCCTCTTTCCCCCCTTCTCCCGGGGCTCTTTGGGATGCTCACATTGCCATGGAGTCATGGATTTGGGGTGGAAGGGACCTGAAAGCTCATCCTGTTCCTGCCACGGATGGGGTATCCAAACCTTCTCCATCAACCCATCCCTGTACCCCACCACCCTCACAGGGAACAGCTTCCCAATATCCCATTCCCCCTCGTGTCCCATTCCATGCCCAAAACCCCTCTCTGGGTTTCCTGTAGCCTCTTTTAAGCACTGGGAGCCGCTCCAGCTCTCCCAGCCTTTCCTTATCACATCCCTTGTGCTTCCCACGTTCCAAACTGGGAGGCTGGGATAGAGAACCCCTTGTTTTCTCCGGGCTCTGTTCCCTCGCACGGACAAAGGAATGCCGCAGCATCGTTATCCCGCACGCTGTATCCCAAAATAAAGCCAGGAGATGGGAGATTCCCGGAAGATTCCCAACGTTCCACTCACCTTGTGCTTGGATTTCCTCTTCTTCTTGGATCTCCTCTTCTCCTTCTCCCTCTCTTTCCGGCGCTTCCTCTTCATGCGCCGATGGGATTTCTCCTCCTCCGAGTCGCTGTGGTGCTTTTCCCCCTTCTCCTTCCGACCCCGTTCCTGGGATTCGGTGGCATCCTGAGCTTCCTCCCCTCCATCGTCCTCCAGCTCGCCTTCCTCCAGCTCCCCATCCTCCCTGCAGAGCAGGAACAGGGATAATGAGCATGGAAAACAGCTCCCGCATTCCCAGGATGGATGCTGGTGGTCCAGGACAAGGATAGCACTGTTATTCCTTAGGGAAGAGGGGGAAACAACGAATCCCAAACGTCCTCAAGAGAATTCCCGGAGCCCCATCCATGAAATTCCAATCTGGAATGGGCCCCAAGAGACTCTGCATGGCCTTGGAGTGGATTAAGCATGGAATATGCAGGAATTCTGTCTGCTCCCATGGGTTTTCCTCCTCTCCCAACAGGACCCAGGTTGTTGCAGTGGGATTGAAACCCGGGGGGGGGGGGGGATCCTCATCCTTTTCCTTCTCCTTTTCCTACTCCTTTTCCTTCTCCTGCATAGGGAATGAAGCCACACAAGCTCATGGACACAGCCTCGTTCATCCCCGGCTGCGGATCGGGAATGCCGGGAATACCGGTGCGGTTCCAGAACCAAGCAGATACACCTGGTTGGGAAGAGCTCCCATCCCTGGAAAACAACTGGGAATGGGGCTGGATTTCAGGCAGACAAAGCAGGAATCCCCCTTCCATGGGGGGAACTGGGGCCTGCTGGAGCGGGCTTGGAATTCCAGGCTTTGAATCCCAGGAATGCAAAGCACGAAGTGAGGGGGGGGGGGGGGAGGCAGTGGGAAGTTGCTGATGGAGCTGGATGAGGAGGGATAAGGCGGGGGGGAAGCACCTGGATTTGATGGGATCAAACAGCATCAGGCTGGGAAAACCCAAGCATTGGCCCTAAATGCCGGAGCTCAAGGTGACAGGGAGCATTCCCAACTCTCTGCTCCCTATCCCAGGGCTGGGAATTGGGGCTGGCTCCTGCTCTGTATTCCCAATTTTCCTTAGGCTTAGGGTTACCACCAGAGCCAGGTCCCCCTCACAAAAGCCTGGATTATCCCAAGCTGATCCCAAAGGGCCTGAGCTCTCCATCTGAGGTTTCATTCCCATTGGGGAATTCCCAAAGGGAGATGCCTTTTGCCCACTCCTCCTCCTGCCATCCCTAATTCCAAGCCCCATTTATCCTTAGGGAAGCTTCCCAGCTCTCTCTCCTCCCAGCTGGAGCTTCCTTAGGAAATGTGCTTCCAGGCTGGCTCTTTCCCATTGCTCCTATGAAATCCTAACACGGAACTGGACGCACTGGCACCGGGATACATCCCAGTTCCTGGAATAACACCCAATTCCAGGGCCTGGGCTTTGCTTGAACCTGGCCCTACAAAGCTTCGGCCCAACAAGCCTTGGGAAAGGAAATCCAGGGAATGGAAGGATCCCGATAGGGATCTGTGCTGGGATACAGAGGAGTGGCTCCATAGGGATCCTGAGCACCAGGAAGAGCTGGGAATGGCACCAGGAAAAGGCCTGGAGAAGAAGTTGTGCCTCCTCCTGCTCCTGTTTAACCCTATGGAACCATCCACCATGGATCCACCTAGGAATTCCTGATGCCAGCAGCAATTCCTGCTTTGCCAAGGGGGAAAAGAATCCCGAATTCCCTGGCAAAGCTCAGGCCTGGAAGGAGCAGGGCCCTGAAAAGCTGGGATAAAAAGGCAGGAAAGCCAATCCCTGGCTGTTGTTTGAGGCGGAAATCCCTCTGGAATGCCATGGGATCCGCGTGTTTGCAAGGGATGGAGCCCCCTTTTCCCATCTTTTCTTAGGGAGCAAACCATCACCGTGTGCTTAGGGGGAACACTGGGAATTGCCCCCCCCCCCCAAATGGGAAAGGGGGAAGTGGGGCAGGAACGTGTGCTTTGGGCAGCCAGGGAATCCCAAATCCCATAAAGTGGAAGGGAAAAAGAGGGAATTCCCAGCCCTGGGAGTGGTGTTTGACCTGGGATGGTGTGAGGGGACCGGCTTGGGCAAAGGTGGGGTACAACGAGGGAATGGCATCGGGATGCTCCCGGTTTTCCTTGGATCCGATCTGATCCATGGGGATGGGGGGGGGGATGTGTGATGACGTTTGGGAACAGTGCTTTGCCACCTTTTTTGTTGCTTTTTTGACACTTTTTGGAGTGATTTTAACCAAACTTTGTGACTTTTTTGGCTTTTTTTTCTTCCAGGCCAAAGGCTGGAGCAGCCTCTTTGGGAGGGAGCGGAGGTGGGAATGTCGCGACGGGCACGATTTTTGGGGGGGAAAGTGTGCTTTTGGTCACTTTGGGGCTTTGAAACAGTCACATTGAAGATCTAAAGACTGGGGGGGGGGAACGACATGGGACCAATGCGGTGCTTCCACACTGGGGGCCTGTGGAGGAGCTTGGGGGTTACTCATGGGATATCCATGGATTACTCATACATTACTCATGGTTACTCATAGGATACTCATGGATACTCATAGATTACTCATGGGTTACTTATGGATCACTCATAGGTTACTCATGGATTACTTATGGATCACTCATGGGTTACTTATGGATCACTCACAGGTTACTCATTGATTACTCATGGGTTACTTATGGATTACTCATGTATACGTTCCTCGTGGATTACTCATAGATCACTCATGGATACTCACAGGTTACTTATAGGTTACTCATGGGTTACTTATGGATCACTCACAGGTTACTCATTGATTACTCATGGGTTACTTATGGATTACTCATGTATAGGTTCCTCGTGGATTACTCATAGATCACTCATGGATACTCACAGGTTACTTATGGATTACTCATGGATACTCATGGGTTAATCATGGATCACTCATAGGTTCCTTGTGGATTACTTATGGGTCACTCATGGGTTCCTCAGGTTACTAATGGGGTTCTCATAGGTTCCTCATGGGTTACTCATGGATCACTCATAGGTGACTTATGGATCACTCACAGGTTACTCATTGATTACTCATGGGTTACTTATGGATTACTCATGTATACGTTACTCGTGGATTACTCATAGGTTACTCATGGATCACTCATAGGTTACTTATGGATCACTCACAGGTTACTCATTGATTACTCATGGGTTACTTATGGATTACTCATGTATACATTCCTCGTGGATTACTCATAGGTTACTCATAGATCACTCATGGATACTCACAGATTACTTATAGGTTACTCATGGGTTACTTATGGATCACTCACAGGTTACTCATTGATTACTCATGGGTTACTTATGGATTACTCATGTATAGGTTCCTCGTGGATTACTCATAGATCACTCATGGATACTCACAGGTTACTAATGGATTACTCATGGATACTCATGTATCACTCATAGGTTCCTTGTGGATTACTTATGGGTCACTCATGGGTTCCTCAGGTTACTAATGGGGTTCTCATAGGTTCCTCATGGGTTACTCATGGATCACTCACAGGTTCCTTGTGGATTACTTATGGGTCACTCATGGGTTCCTCAGGTTACTAATGGGTTTCTCATAGGTTCCTCATGGATCACTCATAGGTTCCTCAAGTTACTAATGGGTTTCTCATAGGTTACTCATGGATTACTCATAGGTTACTCGTGGATTACTCATAGGTTCCTCAGGTTACTAATGGGTTCCTCATGTATCACTTACAGGTTCCTCATGGGCTACTCACAGGTTCCTCATGGGTTACTCAGTGCTGGGAAGAGGCAGGAAAAGCTCCCATTGCCTGATTCAAGCCAAAGCACTTGGCTTCCCCATAGGAACAAACCACTCTGTGCTGCTCCAAGGGGGAGTGGTGGGGAAGGCAGAAACTTCCCTCTCTGCTTCCCTATGGATCTGTATCTACCTCTTCCCACCCCCCACACCCCCCCTGGCCATGTTTGTGCCTGCCCAGACTTCCTGCTGGGGGGCTTGAACTGGGAAATGGAAGTGCTGGGAATAGGATGAGGTTCCAGTTATGGGGGGGGGAAGTGCTTTTCATACATCCCAGAGGAAACAGGGGGGGTGTCTGGGACAAAGATATGGATATATAGGGGTAAATATGGATATACAGGGATATATCAAGCTTTTTAAGGCCTGGGAGCACTGGACATGAGCCTTTCCCTATCAAAGGGACCCCCCCTGTACCAACCTAGAGCACGCCCCCATAGCACCTAGGGCAGCCCTATGGAGGTTAAAACCCCCCTAAAGAAGCTATAGGGCATCCCTAATGCAGCTAACCTCCCCCCCCCCCCCCCAAGAGGCTGTAGGGCAGCCCTAAAGCAGCTAAACCCCCCCTAAAGCAGCTATAGGGCACCCCTAAAGCAGCTAAGACCCTCCTAAAGTAGCTGATACCCCTAAAGAAGCTAACAGCCCCATAAAGAGGCTATAGGGCACCCCTAAATCAGCTAAAACACCCCTAAGAAGCTAAAATACCCCTGAAGAAGCCAAAATAACCCTAAAAAAACCCAAATCCCTCTAAAGCAGCTAAAACACCCCAGACCCCTCTAAAGCCACTAAAACCCCCTTAAAGCACCTAAAACACCCCTAAAACACCCAATACCCCTCTAAAGCAACCACCCCCCCCTTAAAGCACCTAAAACACCCCTACACCCCTTAAAACACCCCAAAACCCACTAAAACCCCCTTAAAGCACCTAAAACCCTTCTAAACCCCCCCTAAAGCCCTCAAAACCCCCTTAAAGCAGCTAAAACACCCCTAAACCCCCTAAAGAAGCTAAGACACCCCTAAGGCACCCCAAACCCCTCTAAAGCAGCTAAAACCCCCCTTAAAGCAGCTAAAACACCCCTAAAGCACCCAACCCCCCTTAAAGCACCTAAAGACTCCCTAAAATACTTAAACCCCCCACTAAAGCACCTAAAGCACCCCTAAAACACCCCCTAAAGCAGCTAAAACCTCCCTAAAGTACCTAAACCCCCCTTAAAGCACCAAAACCCCCTCTAAAGCAGCTAAAACCTCCCTAAACTACCTAACCCCCCCCTTAAAGCACCCAAAACCCCCTCTAAAGCAGCTAAAACCTCCCTAAATTACCTAACCCCCCCAAAGCGCCTAAAACACCCCTAAAGCACCTAAACTCCCCCTTAAATCACCTAAAACCCCCCTAAAATACCCCCTAAAGCAGCTAAAACCTCCCTAAAGTACCTACTCCCCCTTAAAGCACCTAAAACACCCCTAAAGCACCCCCTAAAGCACCTAAACTCCCCCTTAAATCACCTAAACCCCCCCAAAACCCCTCTAAAGCAGCTAAAACCTCCCTAAACTACCTAACCCCCCCAAAGCACCTAAAACACCCCCTAAAGCACCTAACCCCCCCTTAAATCACCTAAAACACCCCCTCCAAAGCAGCTAAAACCTCCTCAAAGCACCTACCCCCCGCCTAAAGCAGCTAAAATCCCCCTGAAACACCCCAAAACCACCACCCCCCCTAAAAAAAAGCTAAAACACCCCTAAAACACCCCAAAAGCACCTAAAATCTCCCTAAAGAAGCTAAAATCCCCCTTAACTACCTAACACCCCCCCCCCCTTCCGCGGCCTGTCCCTTGCCTTCCCTATTGCCCCCCTCAGGGCCCGGCTCTCCCCTAGCGGCTCCCCCAAACCCCCCCAAAACCCCCCCTATCACTGCCTCTTCCCTCCCCCCCCCTAAAACCGGGCCTAACCCCCCCAAATCACCTCAGACCTTAACCCCCCCCCTTCAAACCACCATCACCTCAGTCTCCGGCCTTATCCCCCCCCCTCCCCACACACACACACCGCTGCCCCCCCCTCACACACCCCCCCCCCCCCCCCCCCGCGTTCCGTTTCCCCCCCACCACCACCACCCCGTCCCCCCCAAACCTGGACAGACAGAGACAGACAGAGAAGGCTCTCGGGTAGAGGCGGTTACTGGACCTTTCGTCCTGGCCGTGGCCGTGGTGGTGGTGGTGAAGGAGCGGCGGCGGCTGCCGGGGGGGGAGGCTGCTGCTGCCGCTGTCGTGGTGGTGGTGGTGGTGGTGGTGGTGGTGGCAGGACGGAGAAGGGGGCTTGGAATGCGGGCTTGGGGGGGAAGCGGCGGCCGAAGGGGGGACACTGGGGCTCTCCACGGCCATGGAGGGGTAAAAAGGGGGTGGTGGGGTAAGGGGATGAGGGGAAGGGAGTGGGGGGGGGGAAGAGAGAGAACCGGGGGGCACAGTGACTCTTACAGCGGGGCGGCGGCCCAGGCCCGGCCCGGCCCCCGCGGCCCACGGGCAGGCACACAAAATGGCGCCGAGGCAGCGCCCCACACGGCGGCCGGAAAGGGCCGAGCGACGGCGGAAATGGCCGAGCGACGGCGGAAATGGCCGAGCGACGGCGGAAATGGCCGAGCGGCGGCGGAAGTGGCCGAGCGGCGGCGGAAAGAACCGAGCACCTTTCCTTACCGCCCCACGAATAGGCGCCGAGGGTGAGTCCATTTGACTCGGCGCTTAGGGGTGGGTGTTGATGGTTTGAGTGCTTCCTCAACACAACAACCCCCGCTTTATGCCTTGTTACGGAGGTTATAACGAAGGGAGAAGCCGCCTGAGGTGGATTTAAATGCGGTTGAGGATAAGAAGCCTCCGGTAGCGGGAGGTGAATCCCGCCGTGCTGTTGTCTTCCCCCCCCCCCCCCTCCGGTGAACGTGGAAGGTGCCGGTGTTTGCGCGGGCCGCCGGAGGGCGCTGTGGTGGCCGTGAGGGGAAGGAGACGGTGGCGGCGGCTGTGGTGATGGTGGAGAAGGAGGAGGGAGGCCCCGGCGGCATCAGCGAGGAGGAGGCGGCTCAATATGACCGCCAGATCCGGCTCTGGGGGCTGGAGGCCCAGAAGCGGTCAGTGGGGGGGGGGGGGGTGTGGGGCGAGTCGGATGGGAGAGGGGTTTGAGGCGTGTGGGAGCCCCTGGGAGGGCTTGGGATGGGGGGGGCTATAGGGGTCTGTGAGAGACCCTTAAGAGGTTATGGAGGGGGGCTGGAGGGGATGTGCAATGAGAGGAGGGCCTTAAAGAAGCTTTTGGATGGATCTATATGGGGCTTTTGGGGGTCCTATAGGGCCTGGAGGGGCTTTTGGGGGTCGTGTAGGGCCTGGAGGGGCTTTTGGGGGTTCTATAGGGCCTGGAGGGGCTTTTGGGGGTTCTGTAGGGGTCTGGAAGGGCTTCTGGGGGTCCTATAGGGGCCTGGAGGGGCTTTTGGGGGTTCTATAGGGCCTGGAGGGGCTTTTGGGGGTCCTAAAGGGCCTGGAGGGGCTTCTGGGGCTCCTGGAGGGTCCTGGAGGTGCTTCTGGGGGTCCTGTAGGCCCTGGAGGGGCTTCTGGGGGCCCTGGAGGGGCTTCTAGGGGCCTGGAGGGGTGTCTGCGGATCCTATAGGCACCTATAGGTCCTGTAAGGGCCTGGAGTGTCTTCTGGGGGTGCTATAGGGGCCTAGAGGGGCTCCTGGGGGTGCTGTAGGGGCCTGGAGAGGCCCTGCAATGTGAAGGTGTGCCTTGGAGGGTCTTATGGGGGCCCCACAGCCTTTGACAGACCCTGTAGGAGCTTATGAGGGTCTTGGAGGCCTCTATGGGGATCTATAGGAGGTTGTTGCAGGCTCTATAGGGGTCAAGGGGGGGTTGCTATGGGAAGGGAGTCTGTAGGTGCTGGAGGGAACACCTGTGGGGTGAGTGTGCCCTATAGAAGCTTGTAGAGGTGATTGAGGGGGGCGGTTATGGGGGCCGTATAGGAACCTGTGGGGACCCTGAGGGCTGTGTAGGGGCTTCTGTAGCTGCTGGGGGGGGGGGGGTGGTCCCCAGGAGCTCAACAGGGCTTGAAAATGGGGGGTATGGGGGGGGGGGGGGGGAAGGAGAAACAGCTCCTGCTTCATTCCAAGCTGGAATTGCCAATGCCTGCCTGTTCCCTGCTGGAAACCCTTGTCCTTAGTGCCTGTTCCCTCTATAAGGGTTCATTTCCCAGCTGGAATTGCCAATGCTTGCCTGTTCCCTGCTGGAAAACCTCTTCCTTACCCCCTCTTCCCTCCATAAGGGTTCATTTCCCAGCTTTCAAGGCTCCTTCCTGCAGCCTCTCCACATTCCAGATCCTCCGGGGCAAAGCATCCCTATTACCAAGCAGGGATGCTGAGGATCGTGCCTTTCCTGCCCCGTTGTATCCCTGCTCCTCCTTTTCCTTCTCCCAAAGGACTCTTTGTGCCGCAGGTTACGAGCATCCCGGGTGCTGCTGGTGGGGATGAAGGGGCTGGGAGCCGAGGTGGCCAAGAACCTCATCCTGGCTGGAGTCAAAGGCTTGACCATGCTGGACCATCAGCAGGTGAGCTGCTTTTTGGGGTGGAATTGCTGCATTTTGGGGCAGAATGAGTCCGGGTTGGGGACGGGTCTGGTTTGGGGTGGGAAATTTGCCTTTTGGAATGGGATGGCTGCGTTTTGGGGGCGGGATTGTCTGTTTCGGGGCAGGGCGGCTCCGTTTTGGGGTGGAATTGCTCCGTTTTGGGTCACAATCCCTAAGCATCCCCATGGATGGGATGGAATTCCCGAGCCCTGTGGCAAACACGTTCCTTATGTGAACGTGGGCTCTGGTCATGGCCTGGCCTCTCCTTGGGCACAAGAGGGAGCTGCGAGCCCAGCATCCAGCTCCGTATCCATAGGGATTGAGGACCAGCGGGAAGCACCCAGAGCTTGATTCCTTCCTCTCCTTGTCTGTGTCCCACGTTGGGCTCTCAGGGGCTTCTCCCACTCATCCCACTGTTTCCCCCTATTCCAGGTCTCCCAAGAGGACACCCGGGCTCAGTTCCTCATCCCGGGGGGATCCTTGGGCCGGAATCGCGCTGAGGCCTCCCTGGAGCGGGCGCAGAACCTCAACCCCATGGTGGACGTCAAAGCTGATGCTGGGAATGTGGATTCCAAACCCGAGGAATTCTTCACCCAGTTCGATGCGGTGCGATGGGATGGGGTCTTCTTAACGACCCCGGTGTTCATTGGGCCGGGGCCTTTGCCTGCTTCCCTTGGGATGGGACGCGGAGGATTCCAGGCTGCTTGGAGGAGGAACAGCAGCACATCCAAGTGCGTTGCTCCTGTGGATCCCCGGTGGCAGGAGCTCCCCTTATCCATGCATCCCAGGTTTAAAACCATCCTTTATTTAGCTCCATCCCAAAATCAGCTGCCGTGTCCCCACATCCTTGGAGCGAAGCTTCTGTGACAAGAGGGGAAAAGGAATCATTAGCATGGAATAACCTCCCCCCAGCCCCAGCATGGAAGGATCTGATGGGGAGAGGGGGGGATAACATCATTCCCATTGCCATTCCCAGGTCTGCCTGACCTGCTGTTCCCGGGATGTGATGGTGAAGATCAACCACATCTGCCACAAGAACAGCGTCAAGTTCTTCGCCGGGGATGTCTTTGGTTACCATGGTTACATGTTTGCCGACCTGGGGGACCACGAGTTCGTGGAGTGAGTATGGAAGGGGCAGGAATTCCCCCTTGGAAGTAGTGGGAAAGGAGAAGCTCGATGTGATCCATAAAAAAAAAACCCTTCCATGTGCTGGTCCCATGGGATTCACCCACCTTAGAGCAGCTCCGGAGCCTAAAAGGAGATACAGGAAACCTGGAAAGGGGCTTTGGATATGGGATGGGGTGAGGAGAAACAGCTTCCAATTGGAAGAGGTGGATGGGATATTGGGATGGAGCTCTTCACTCGGAGGCTGAAGGGACACTGGGATGGGTTGATGGGGAAGGTTTGGGTGCTCCTGGAGCAACCTGGGCTAGTGGGAAGGTGTCCCTGCCCTTTGGTTGGAACTGGATGAGCTTTAAGCTCCTTTCCAACCATTCCATGAATCCAGGATCGTTTGCTATGGAGCAGCACAAACAAGGATCCGGGTTTCTCCCTGGTTTACTTCCATAGGGAGAAAACCAAAGTCGTGCCCAAAGCCAGCCCGGGTGTGGAGGACGGGCCGGACACCAAGAAAGCCAGAGTGGATCCTTCCGAGACCACCATGGTGAAGAAGGTGAGTGGGAAAATCCCAATGGAGACCTTTGGGATCCAGCCCAGCGCAAGGGGCGAGTTCCTTGGGAATCTCAGCTCCTGTATTCCCAGCAACTCCAGGATCCTTTGGGCCAGGTTATCCCAGAGAGGGGGGTGCTTATAGGCCCCCCCCCCCCCCCCAGCTGCTTCCCATACCAGTGTGAGGCAATTCCATACTGGGTTTGATGGGAAAGGGGAGGGGGGATGCAGCCGGTTTTCCAGGCTTGTGAAAGCTCCCTTGGAGGAGGTTTTCCATGGCTTGGGGCTGGAATCTGCTCCCAAGCCAAACCTTTTCACATTGAAATGCCTCTGGCCGGGCATTGTTTCCCTTTCCCAGCTGGAATTTGGAGGGAGGAGTGGAAATTCCCCCCTCCCACTACGAGGAGAAGCAGCTGAGCTGCCCTTTGTGTCCCTCTGCCTCGCTTTGGGGGGGGTGTGGGGGGTGTGTGTGCAGCTTCCCCTTGGAAGGGCTGGGAATATTCCTGGGATGCCAATGGAAGCAGCTGACATCCTCCTGCCTTTTGGGGGGGGGGTGATTCCAAGCCTGGAATTCTTTTGGATCTGTTTTGGATCATGCCCTGAGCTGTTCCCTGTGTCCCTATGGGAGACCTTCAGCTCATTGAACACCTCTAGAGCTGGTTTTCCCAAAGATTCCAGAGTTTGTGCTTGGTAAATCCCATCCACAGCTCCCATCCCAAGGGATAGCAATGGACTGGAAAAGAGAAGCTCCAGGGAGACCTTAGAGCAGCTCCAGAGCCTAAAAAGGGGATATGGGAAACCTGGAGAGGGGCGTTGGATAAAGGATGGGATGAGGAGGAGCAGCTTCCCATGGGAAGAGGTGGATGGGATGTTGGGATTGAGGGTGGTGGAATACTGGGATGCGTTGATGGAGAAGGTTTGGATGCTCCATCCATGGCAGCCTTCAAGGGGGGAAGGTGTCCCTGCCCCTTGCTTGGAACTGGGTGAGCTTTAAGGCCCCTTGCACCCAAAGCATTCCATGGTTCCATGATGAAGTTGAGGCTGATCCCGGGCTCATCCATGGGGAAGAGCCGGTGCCTTTTTCCATGCATCCTTTCTCATCCCATATCCTGGCAGCGCCTCATCTTCTGCCCGCTGAAGGAGGCTCTCTCTGTGGATTGGAGCGGGGAGAAGGCAGCAGCGGCCCTGAAACGCACGGCTCCGGATTACTTCCTGCTCCAAGGTAAGCTCCTGCTCCCCATTCCCTGCTCCCTGCTCCCCATTCCCTGCTCCTGCTTCCCGTTCCCTGCTCCTGCTTCCCGTTCCCTGCTCCCTGCTTCCCGTTCCCTGCTCCCTGCTCCCCGTTCCCTGCTCCTGCTCCCCGTTCCCTGCTCCTGCTTCCCGTTCCCTGCTCCTGCTCCCCGTTCCCTGCTCCTGCTCCCCGTTCCCTGCTCCTGCTCCCCGTTCCCTGCTCCTGCTCCCCGTTCCCTGCTCCTGCTCCCCGTTCCCTGCTCCTGCTTCCCGTTCCCTGCTCCTGCTTCCCATTCCCGTTCCCTGCTCCCTGCTTCCCGTTCCCTGCTTCCTGCTTCCCGTTCCTTGCTCCTGCTCCCCATTCCCTGCTCCCCATTCCCTGCTCCCCATTCCCTGCTCCCCATTCCCTGCTCCCCGCTTTCCATTCCCTGCTCCTGCTTCCCGTTTCCTGCTTCCCATTCCCTGCTCCCCATTCCTGCTGCTCTTCCTGGCCAGCCCCAGGAACTGAGATCCACAAGTGAATCCCAGTGGGTTTCCGGTTGGATTTTTGGGGATTTGGGGGGGGGGGGCGGTGATCTTTGCTCTCAGCTTTCCATGGCAGCATCCAGGGAATGCCAAAGCATTCCAGAGCCTTGGGAAGAGCTGGGAGCACCGGGAGCTTTCCCTAACCACCAAGTGGAAGGCTTGACCGAGGGCTTCTCCTCCCATTCCAACGAGCCTTTGGGAATGCTCCTAACTGGGGGGGTGTGTGGGGGGGGGGTGACTCCACTCCTTCCCTATCCCAGTGCTCCTGAAATTCCGGACGGATAACGGCCGGGATCCATCCCCTCAGAGCTACGCTGAGGACTCGAAGCTGCTGCTCCAGCTCCGCAGCGACGTGTTGGAAGCGCTGGGGGTGAGCGCCGCGGTGCTTCCCGATGACTTCATCAGGTGAGCCGGGAATGCCCATGATTCCCATGGGATACCCACAGGGGAATCAAGCCCCTTGTGGTGGGATGGGGGGGGTGTGTGTGTGTTGCACCGGGACCTCCCATCCTTCTTCCCTGCATGTCCCCACACGCTTCCCATTGGGAATGGTGGGAATGTGCCGTGCCGCCGGGGGCAGCATCCGGATGGCATTCGGAAGGGCTTATTTTTGGCAGGGTGGAGCCACCAAACTCCTATTTGGGGGGGGGGGGGCACGACGACACCCCCTTAGTGTTTTGGGGGGGGGGGGTGATGCCCCCATAGTGCCATTCCAAGCTTTTCCCATTGGATCCTTCCCATTCCAGTTACTGCTTCTCCGAGATGGCTCCGGTCTGCGCCGTGGTCGGAGGCATCCTGGGCCAGGAGGTGGTCAAGGTATGGGGCTGGTTATGGGGGGGGGGGGTCTGCAAGGCAATGACACCCCCCCACCTTTGCTCCCCAAAACCCCCCTTTTTGGGGAGGGGGGGGCCCAATTCTGACCCCCAACCACTTCCCCCCCCCCAGGCCCTGTCCCAGCGTGACCCCCCCCACAACAACTTCTTCTTCTTCGATGGCATCAAAGGCAATGGCACTGTGGAGTGTCTGGGCCCCCCCTGAGCAATGGGGGGGGTGGGTGAGGGGGTCAACTGGGGGGGGCCCCCCCATTGCACCCCACGTTTTGGGGGGGGGTGTGTTTTGGGTTAATAAAAGCTGGTTTGTAGAAAGTGGTTTATTGGGGGTTGTAATTGGGGGGGGGCCTAATGCTGGGCCCCCCTAAATCCCAGCCCCCCCCAAACCTCATGGTCCCCCACATTCCCACCCCCCCCCAAACCCTATGTATCCCCAAAGTGCCCCCCCAACCCCTCTGTACCCCCAAATTACATCACACCCCCCTATCTCCTTCAAATCAGTTTATTGGAAACAAAGGTACAAACCCAGGAGTAGTCCCAATGCCCACCCCATAGGGAGCCCTATAGGGACCCCCCCCGTATACACCCCCCCACATCCCCCCCCCATCTGTACACCCCATATATACACCCCCTATGTACACTCCTATGTACACCCCTTATATACAGTCATCCTATACACCCCTATATACACCCCCCCATACATACACCCCTATATACACTGTACACCCTATATACAGCCCCATATACACTATAGACAGCACCAGCACCCCCGCTGAGGGGGGGGTACCCCCCATTTGTCTCTCCCCCCCAGCCCCTAAAATGCACCCCAATAAATAGGAAGGGGGGGGGGGATGCAGCAACACCCCTTGGGGTGCAGGCAGGACCCAGGCCCTGTTTTGGGGTGCAGGCAGCACCCAGGCTCCGTTGTGGGGTGCAGGCAGGACCCAGTCTCTGTTTTGGGGTGCAGGCAGCACCCAGGCTCCGTTGTGGGGTGCAGGCAGGACCCAGGCCCTGTTTTGGGGTGCAGGCAGGGCCCTATTCGTGCAGGTTGTAGATGGCTCCCAACAACTGCGAGAGCAGGCGGCAGAGAGGACCCCAAAACACGCCACCGCCGGCACCGCGCTGCTCCCGCTGCAATGGGGGGGGGGAACAGCATTAATATGGGGGTGCCCCCCAAAATCCACCAGCACCCCCCCAAATCCACCCCCCCCTTTCCCTGTGGTGTGTGGGACACTGGGAATGGGGGATTTTGGGGTGTCCCCCCCAAGTAACAGTCCCCCCAATAGGACCCCCCCCATAACAGCCCCCACAATAGAAGCCCCCCCAAATAACAGCCCCCCCCCCCCCAGTTTGGGGTTCCCACCCTCCCCCCAAATAATCCTCCCCCATCATCCCATTCCCTGTGGTGATTAGATTGGGAATAAAGTTATTGGGGGGGGTGGATTTTGGGGTGCCCCCCCCTTCCCCTATAGTGACCAGGAAGGAGGGGGAATAGCACTGGGAATAGGGGGGATACCATTGGGAATAGGGGGGGATACCATTAGGGACAATGGGACGGGGGGGGTGCAGGGTTTTGGGGTGTGCCCCCCCCTTTTTGGCTGCCCCCCCCTCACCTGCAGCTCGTGCTGGCGCTGGAAGGCGTCCCCCAGGCGACGCAGGCGGGCGCCCACCTCCCGCCCGTTGGGGACCCCCCCCTGGACCCCAGTGCTGGGGGGGGGGGCCCCCATGTGCTCCCCAGTGGCTGGGGGGGGGAATTCGTCTGGAGGGGGGGGGGAATTAAAGGGGGGGTCAGCGTAAGGGGGGTGCAACAGGAGCCCCCAGATACATTGATGGGGGGGGGGCTTGTTCTGACATGGGCAGAGGGACCCCCCCCTATGGGTAATGGGACCCCCCATAGATAAAGGGACCGCCCCCCCATAATGGGACCCCTGCATAGGTAAAGGGACCCCCCCCCCCAAAGGTAAAGCCCCCCCCCTCCCAGCATGGATAATGGAACCCCCCAATAATGGGACCCCCCTTAGGTAAAGGGACCCCCTCCAGTAATGGGACCCCCCCATAATGGGACACCACTGATAATGGGATGCCCCCCCCCATAATGGGACCCCCCCTATAGGTAAAAGGACCCCCCCGATAGTGGGACACCCCCATAATGGGACACCCCCATAATGCCCCCCCCGATAATGGGACCCCCCTGATAGTGGGACACCCCCATAGGGGCCCCCCCATAATGGGACACCCCCATAATGGGCCCCCCCGATAATGCCCCCCCCCATAATGGGACACCACTGATAATGGGACCCCCCTATAGGTAAAAGGACCCCCCCAATAATGGGACACCCCCCGATAGTGGGACACCCCCATAAGTAAAGGGCCCCCCCATAATGGGACCCCCCTATAGGTAAATGGACCCCCCCATAATGGGACACCACTGATAATGGGATGCCCCCCCCCCCCCATAATGGGACCCCCCTCTTCATGGATAATGGGACCCCCCTATAGGTAAAAGGACCCCCCCAATAATGGGACACCCCCATAATGGGACACCCCCATAATGCCCCCCCCCCATAATGGGACACAACTGATAATGGGATGCCCCCCCCAGAACGGGGACCCCCCAGAGGGTAGGACTCCCCCATAGTGGGACACCCCCATAAGTAAAGGGTCCCCCATAACGGGCCCCTGATAGGCAAATGGACCCCCCCCAACCGGGACACCCCCACGATGCTCCCCAGAATGGGACCCCCCTCTGATAGTGGGGGACACCCCCAAGGGCTCCCACAACTCGGGGACACCCCCATAATGGGCCCCCCCGATAATGGGACCCCCCCGATAGTGGGACACCCCCATAAGTAAAGGCCCCCCCCCCCCCGGTCCTCACCGTGCCCGCTGTGGGTGGCGCCGGGGGGGGACGGGACCGGCTCCCCCCGTGCCCCGCAATGGAAGAGGCCGCAGGCGGGGGGGGGCTCCCCGGGACAGGCGCAGCTCAGGGGCGGGGCTCGGCGCGGGGGGGGCGCGGGGGGGCTCGGTTCCCGCAGGGCTCGGCCACGGCCGCCGGGGTCCTCGGGAGGGAGGGGGGGGGTGTCAGAGAAGGGGGGGGGGGGGGGGGGCACCCTCAACCCCCCCCCCCCCCTTTAACGCGAATCCCCCGCCCCCCCCCCCCGGGACACGCGGGTGCGGGGTCCGCCGCGCCCGCCAGGGGGCTGATAATGAGCGGGCGTGTTTGTAAACAAACCGGGCACGGCCCGAGGCGGCGGGACCGGGAATGGGATGGGAACGGGATGGGGATGGGAACGGGATGGGGGGGAGGGGGAAAACGGGGGGATGG